TTTGTTTATATCACGGAGTCTGTTCTTCTTCTCTGTCTTCCGGTTGTTGCCTCTTTTGAATGACGAATACACACTACCGCTGCCTGCTGGTAAGGAGAGTTATTGCCACTCACGCATGCGCAGTTCGTACGTGCTACTTGGCCGTCGGCTAAAGTCTTTGCGGTGTGTTCCAGTGCGACTATTGGCCAAGAAGCAGGAGACGTGAGGCGACACAACAGTCATGTTCCGTCGGGACGTGTTCTTTGGTGTCAGTTTGGTGTGTCAGGGCCTTTATTGGCAGTGAGCTCACATTGGAATTGTCCCCTTTGAAAAATCTAATTTTTACACTCTGCTGTGCTGATGGCAAATTGCACAGTGTCACACACACTGGATAAAATGATATGTGTACCAAAAGAGCAGACAAGTAACGTATTTTTCCAAAATGTGTGTATATAACGTTGTTAATGTTAAGGAGTTTGTTTTATGTTCTTTGTTGAACAAAAGTATATGGGAGCTCTCTGGCTAACTGTGCTTTTGTGTTTTGAATGGTAACCTAATTAAAATAATGGTCCATTTGATTCGAGCATTTATTTGAATGACATTCACTAAACAGGAAAACATTTATTACAAAAAGGATTTAGTATGTTTACCACATGAGCGAGAGTGACACTGTTTAGCATCTTAAAACAAATATGAAACAGTCCTTTTGTGTAAACAATCCTATTCAACTTAAACATTTCAATATAATTGAAGTATTGCCTTCTGTTTGCTGCAGATAAAGCAATATTTCATGGTTCCTAATATAAACTGGTGATGTAGTTATGGCAGACCCATTATGCATGTTAGTATTCTTGTCACCCACTCATTTCCAGCACTCACATTTGATGCACAAATGCAAACCTTCAAAGTCAGATTTCTTTCTGACAATATATTACAGTTCACTGTTTTGGTGGCCCATCCATCAACCCATTGACCCATCTATACATCCATCAACACATCCATCCTTCCATCCATCAATGATAGGTCTCTTTTCCAAACCATGTTACTACTGTACATTTCACCCTATATTCAAGACCACTGCTCTCTCCTCTTTGGTAGTTCTGGCACATCACCAATGGGCCTTAGACTTGGAAATATTGATGTGTCACATTGACACTCATCTGCAAACTGTCTGATGTGTGCCTCTGTATCCTCAAGGAACTGGGCAGTCTCAGTACCTCAGATGAGCCCTGTCGAATATCAAAAAACAGAATGCCCACATTCAATGCTTGACTTTATGCCACAAAAGGGAAACACACTTCCCTATTCTACATTAATGATTATAATCTTGGGTCAAGCCTGCTGGTAAAATGTTTCAGAGCAAAAGGACCATGCAAGCCAAAAAGCGGAGCTCAGTGCAATATCCACTGAGTAAAGGCTATATTTTGTGATTAGAGCTTGGCAACATACACTTGCCCTTAAAGATGGAATATAATCACTTTCTTGGGAAGCCGGCTGATTTCAGAAGTGCTAACCCAATTCAGTGGGGCTCATTGCTTTGCCTGTGGCTCCACACTCCTTGATAGATGATGGAAGTCTTATTTAGGAATTGTCCATGGTGAGACATGCCAGGGAGGTGTGGGACTACATAAAAATCACCAGTTATTATTTTTCCTGATGGATGGGAGGGTTTTCATAGTGCAGATACATAACTATTAGAGTTGTTTGTAAGTTGCTAAGCAACAATGGCTGGTAAACTGTCACGGACAGCGGCTGTGGTCACAGAGGAGTCCCACAGCAACAATATACTCTTGAAATTGAGCCTTTCACTGAAGACTGGACAAAATTAGCTGCATTTTATATTGATAGTCAGACATTCATATTACAAATTGGACAAGCTTTGTGTTATGAATACCAGATTGAGTCTACAATGTCTGAATCATTCTTGATTTTATAACAGCTAGTTTAAATAATGTCTGAGGATTAGAAAGACAGAAACTGCAGTATTTATGAAGATTATCTTCATTACATTACATTGCATTTAGCTGACGTTTTTATCCAAAGCGACTTACAATAAGTACATTTGACCAGGAAGATAAAACCTTGAAGAAAACAGAATCATATAAGTACATCAGGTTTCATAGAGCCAAACATTTCAAGCGCTACTCAACTGGCTTTACTGTAGATAAGCCAGTCCTTTATTAGTATATAAGTGCTCTGTTAGCAGTTCTTTGTTAGTAATTCTATCGCTCGAAGTGGAGTCGAAAGAGATGAGTTTTCAGTCTGCGCCGGAAGATGTGCAAGCTATCTTCTGTCCTGATTTCAATGGGGAGCTCATTCCACCATTTTGGAGCCAGGATAGCAAACCCACGTGTTCAAATTTCACCATGATCAAAGATACTCTGACATCTGCATATTCTTTGCCTTCTCTCGCAAAGATCATCATGATCTCCATTCATCTTTTGCTTTGCTAATTTGGATATTTGCCCTGTTGCATGTGTTAATTGTATAGTTAAAATTACTACTGAATTTTTTTTACAAATACTGTGCTAGTCCGCCAAAACAATGGAAAGATATATACCCTTTTACAAATATTAAAGAATTGTTTTAATATTATTATCTTATTTTTTTTAAATTATTATTATTAAAACAATGTTTTGGCCACTGGCCTTTTTAACATAGACACTCTTATCACAGACAACCTGCATTACCATGCAAAGTGAACCTTTACATGAGTCGAAACATTAATGAAACAAAACTATTTCACAAAGGAAATGTCAAAATGTTGCTTTCAAAAGACCATATTACTACTTATACTTATAATGTTTTAAGATGCACATTTGAAGCATGTTACGCTTTACAGAATGTCCTGAAATCCTCATCTCAAAGGCTTTATTCATGTACTGGCTGTTTTACAGTTTATATTAATGTTATAATGCACCAATTGCTTCTAAAGATCGGTATTTTACCAGGTTAAAGGACAGTTATTGTTGCAGGATTGTGATGTACGGACACCATGAATTGGCAGACCTGTCATGTACCTTCACCTCTTACTGCTCAGGACTCCCCTTGATGATGTGTGTTCAGTAACAGAAAATCTTCCCGTTGAACAGTTAAGAACCCTATTCACCTGCAGTTGTCCCCCGCAGAGGTTGCTGTTTGTTCCACGGTTGGCTCATTCTACTGGTGTCCCTCCCTCCCTTCCTCCCTCCCGACCCTGGGCGCTCCAGCTGGAGTGCTGTGACCTCTTTATGAGTCAGTAATGTGGAAGAGAAGCACCTCAGTTAGTCCCAGTATTCTTTTGTTTATTTACGTACATGGACATTGTGTCTCTACTCCACATTATGTTTGACTATGTGTGTGTGTGTGTGTGTGTGTGTGTGTGTGTGTGTGTGTGTGTGTGTGTGTCAGCTTGTATGTGAGTCTTTTTGGATCCCAAGGGATGAAATCGCATGACTGAGGGAATCCCTCCAGTGACGCTAACCGTATTTGTAACCGTCTGATTGAATCGGTGCATGAGATACATTGATGTAGAGAGTCCACCCCTTAGGAAGTGAACTTGTTGACCTTTGACCTAGTACTGTTCTGGAAGGGCTATGAGCTATATCATGTGCTCAGATGTATTTGAGAGACTGATAGTTCAATGACCCATTATTACACATTCATGACCTTTGTTAAGTTTTCCTTGTTTTCTATTCTGACTTTGGAATTTACATCTGATGTGCTTTAGATGTTTTCACGTTTGTCATGATTTCCACCACTTTGATGCAAATTGTTTATATCAGAGTAACAGACAGAAAGCCAGCTTGCTGTCTTTTTGGGGGGTATTCAGGAGACTTACTCACACAAGTAACTTAATGCACAAAGTGAGCTTCTTACCCCTAACTGGCCCAATAGCTCCCGCAGACATTAATTGGATGAGAAAGCAAAATGCCAGGTTATATGAGGCACAGGTAGCAGAAGTATTAAGCCGAGGCACACGACAGGCTGGACTGGAGTGCCTCTTCTGGTTAGGAGGGAGTACCACAGTTCCTGGTGCACAAAATCACTGAGAACACTACAAAGAAAAAATAAAGCTTTATCAAAGGACTCTTTTGAATGTGCACGGATTGTTTTTAGCTGGGTCTCAAAATAAAGAATTGCATTAAATAAAGTCCCTGTTACATCACACCCAAGAATTACATTTTGGAAAACTATTGGGAATGTTTTTCTCAATCATGAAGATCCCAAATCAGACTAAATTGTCCCCCGGTGTAAACTAAAGAGCTAAATAAAGAGCTGGAACATATAACTTGCACGGCAAATGAGAGAGCATGCACTTGCAAAACTACTCAGCCTGAAGGCACAATCAGAACAATAGATAAGTAGTAAGTAAGTAAGTAAATAAGTAATTCATAACTAATTCAATCCACTAACTCGCAAAAGTCCAATAAAATTAATAATAACAGAAATGACAGCCATGATGTATAGGAAAAAAAAACAGAGATGCACTCAAAATCAAACAATTTCCCTCAAACATTGAACAGCACAATAACTTTGATTATATTAAATCAAAGGAGTTTAACGTTTTTGCAGTGTAATGTATTTCTGTGACCAAATCTGGTTATTATTATTGGAAGAACAACTGTGCTGCACAGTAGAGGAATGTAAAAAAAATGAAACAATGTAATACTCGAACTGTCAGACAGAGCTCGACCATGGAAGGACTCTGTTATGACTCTGTGTCCTTGTGAATGCCTCACGCACCATTCCGGGCATTTGTTGCTTACTCATACATGTCGGGCACTGACGCTAACAGATGCTCACAGTGAGCTCGTTCATAAGGACTCCAGCGTGAAGCGTGATTTTTGGCCTCTTACTGTATGTGGGTAATATGCAGGATAGGAATTCCTGATATTTTCCTGCTGTGTCCTAGTCATATCCTTATATGGTCACAGCGATCAAAATGACACATGTTTCATCGCAAGCCTTTTCAAAACATTCCCACCCTCTCTGCTCCTATTGTAGAGACAAAGCAGAGGTCTGGGAGCCCATGGTCGTCTCTGCAAGCTATATTTTCCATCCTGCTGCAACTGCAGCTCACTCCGGCTAAGCTCTCCAACTGATTGGTAAGGATATCGTCCCTGGAAACCCTTTAGACCCCAAACTAAGCTAGTGTTCATGCTGCGATTTTCTTCTCAGTCTAGCTGACAATAAGCCATGTGCTATTGTGGGTTCATAAGAGGGAAAGTACTGTGGAGGTGTCATATTCATACCCAACAGCCGCCCCAAAGGGACAGCAGTGTTTGGGTTCCGCCTCACTGTCTCAGCTAATGTGGGTCTGCTGTCTGTCTCCCCGCTCCAACAGTTTGTGCCTGGCCACCTGCTGATTCTGCTGGTTTTGATGGACTGCCTGGAGCCTAGACATAACCTACATAGGCAATATGTCCCTCTCTTCCTAAACTGTGCTCAAGCTCACACACACACACACACACACACACACACACACACACACACACACACACACACACACACACACACACACACACACACACACACACACACACACACACACACACACACACACACACACACACACACACACACACACACACACACACACACAACAAAATGCTATTTAGTTCCCAACCAGAACAAACCAGTCAAGTTAATACAATCCTGAAAACTGCACCTCACACAGAAGAAGGCTCACTAAGAGGATTTATTCTTCAAAAAGAGATAGGCTGTTAAATAAAGTGTGTGTGTATTTTACGATAGCAAATTCCCTATTTGGATTATTTTGCCTTCTACGGATATCATCCTTCCACCCTGCTTCGTCTTCTAGTTCCCCTTACATTCCCAAACTTCACAGCAACCTTATTGTGGCACTGAGCTCAAACTTCCTTGTGTGTATACCATTTGCAAAATAAAACAGATCAAATTACGGATTTATGAATTTCCCGAGCGAGAGAAGAACACTGATTTTAATTAAAGCAATTATTAAATCATCCCTATTCCCACCTTGCTTATTTATTTGTTGCTTGTTTTAATAAAATGTTTTGGACATTTGCATTTATTGACTGTTAACTCATAATGTCTTCCTTTTTCTCCCTCTTGTTTCCCCCTTCCTCCTCCTTTACTTTCTTCAGAGTCTGTGAACAGGTGAGGGAGGGACACTGTCTGCCCCACTGTCCAGCGACACCATGAGCTGGAGCTTCCTCACGCGGCTGCTGGAGGAGATCCACAACCACTCCACCTTCGTGGGGAAGCTGTGGCTCACCGTGCTCATCGTCTTCCGCATTGTCCTCACTGCCGTTGGGGGAGAGTCCATCTACTATGACGAACAGAGCAAATTTGTCTGCAACTCTGGCCAGCCGGGCTGCGAGAATGTCTGTTACGACGCCTTTGCCCCTCTATCTCATGTTCGCTTTTGGGTCTTCCAGATTATATTGGTTGCTATGCCTTCTCTCATGTACATGGGCTATGCTGTCAACAAAATTGCACGATTGGATGAGGCCAAAGGAGGAAGTGGCTCTGCTGCAGTTAGAACAGGAGGAGGGGGATACACGCACAGGAAGCCCAGGAAAATTTTCTTTGGAGCACAGCAGCACCGGGGCATCGAGGAGGCGGAGGATGACCAAGAGGACGATCCCATGATTTATGAGGTGCCAGAGATCGAGCCGCCAAAAAGGCTGCGGGATCCATTGCAGCCAACACCCAGGCCCAAAATTCGCCATGATGGGCGAAAACGTATAAGAGATGAAGGGCTGATGAGGGTTTATGTTTTGCAACTGGTGATTCGTACACTGCTAGAAACAGGCTTCCTTGCAGGGCAGTATTTGCTGTATGGGTTCCGTGTGAAGCCTGTATTTGTGTGCTCGGGGAAACCTTGTCCCCACAGCGTTGACTGCTTTGTCTCGCGGCCTACAGAGAAGACCATCTTTCTGCGCATTATGTATGGTGTCACTGTCCTTTGTCTCACGCTCAATATCTGGGAGATGCTGCATTTGGGGATTGGTACCATCTGTGATATTCTCCGCCGTCGGCGCTGCCCACCTCAGGAGGATGAGTACCAGTTGGGATTGCTGGGCACCAATGGAGGTGTGGAGGGTCCAGTAGGGGGGACAGGGCCTGAGGCAGGCTCTGAGGGAGGGTTGGGTGGAGATGGTCCTGCAGATTATGTTGGTTACCCCTTTTCTTGGAATACCCCATCAGCTCCACCTGGCTACAACATTGTGGTCAAACCAGAACAGATGCCATACACAGACCTTAGCAACGCTAAAATGGCATGCAAGCAAAACCGGGCAAACATTGCCCAGGAAGAGCAGCAGCAATTTGGTAGCAATGAGGATAACTTTCCTACTGGAGGGGAGGCCCGCGTTGCGTTGAACAAAGACATGATCCAGCAAGCTCATGAGCAACTGGAGGCAGCTATCCAGGCATACAGTCAGCAGCACCGGGCAGAGGAGCAGCTTGGGGACAACCAGGATGACAAGCCCCAAAGTAATATCATACAGGCACAGCCTCAGCCTCAGCCACATAAAGAGAGAAAGCATAGATTCAAGCATGGGAAAGGAGGCAGCAGTGGAGGATGCAGTAGCAGCAACAGCAGCAGCAGCAAATCGGGAGAGGGCAAGCCCTCTGTATGGATTTAATCCCTGAAACATGACATGTATGGAGATCCTGCATATTTAAATTACTGGATTACAGGTTGTTGAAATTTGTTTGGGATAATTAAACACCACAGTGCCTTTAAGAATCCTGCAAGCTGGAGAAGAAGTGTGTTTGTGTGGAAGAAGATGTGATTTTGCAGCTGACAATTAGATTTGTCTGGGCTATCACTGTTTAACTTGAAACATCACACCAACGCAAACTATATACACAACGTGTCGTTAACATGTTTTATTCTCGTCAAGACCTGAAGCATCTTATTGTCCGTTGTCTTCCCGTTCATCCTTTCTTAGGGATTTGAAATTACTGAATGATAACGAGTTTTCTTGCAAATCAGATTGATCCCAGATTTGGCTGAGCACCATTCTTTGCCACTCCTCTGCAAAGACAGTCTCAATATTTACATTGGCATCCTTATTCTTCTGGAAATCTAAATAAATGATCATAATAATACGATGCAATGTCATCCCTACATTCCGGCAAGTTTTAGCAAAGATAGGGTACTGTTTAACAAGAACCACAACAACGTAAACGCAATCAAATGATGTTCAGTAACAGCGCCTATGGCAGTGACTTTATAATGCAGTGAGAAATTCACCTTCCTGAAGGTGTCATATGTGTCTGATGTGTTTATATTATGTACCCTGTTATTTGTTTGTTCATTTGAAAACTGCTACACAAGCTGCTGCTTTTAAACCGATGAGTACAGCAGGTTTTTCATGCAGTCTACATCTGAAACGTCCTGTGATTTATTTTAGAAGGCTCATAATCAATCCCTTTTCCATACCTTACTTTTCAACTCCTCAGTTTCTCTCTAAGGCTCTTCATGGCTATTGAACAAGGCTGCTCAGCACTCCACTGCTGTCTCATCTGCCTTGTAGTTGTGTGCCCCCTGGTGGTATCTTCTTCTGGCAACATTTATGGGGAGTAGATACTAGATGCCATTGTTACCTGCATCCAGCAACATCTTAACCAGCTGTAGTGTTCCTTTTCTATTCAAAAGCATTGTGTCTGATAATAAGTGTTCTCAGCGCTACAGTGTTCGATACACAAGGCTGCAATATCACAACGTTGAAATGGAAAAGGTTTAAAGCCATTACTATGATATAGTGAGACCAAACACTGTTAGTGTGATGCAAGTGTCAGTGCCAAGATATTATGCTATGCTGCCAAGAGCATGGATATTTGTAGCTTTGGAATACGGTGGCCAACACTTTTGTAAACGTCAGTTGTTTTTTGTATAGGTGTGTTTATTCATTTTCCGGAATGGGATTTAAAACGAAAAAACAAACCCCAAAATAGGATTTGATTTTTATGCTTGATCAAGTATTTGTTTATGAAAACATTCTTTTTTTCAAAAATGTTTGTAAAATAAAGAAAAAGGTAAGCCAGTTATTTTACCAAGTTGTATAGGTATTTAGGTGTATTAAATTGCCTTCAAATTGTAAAAAAAATTGAAATATGACATAGTATATTTTTATAATATGTCGGATACAGTGACTTATTATCGTAAAGAAAAAAAGCCAGACTTTTCCCTGTATGTAACAGTATCAGTATTTAATGTATTTTAATAAACAGTGTTACTTTTTTTCCAATGTTGTTCTGAAATCTGCTCCACAGCTGTTTGTGGAGACAAACTGGCTGATGTCGCCAGTTGGGAAGAAGACATGAAGTGCCAAATTATTCAAACCATTCCAAGATGCGGCTGCATATGAACAAGCCACAGTTCATTTTATGAAGAAATTGGGAAGGGGATGAATCTGAAAATCTAGCACATTATGATCTTTATTTAATAAATCTTATGTGAAGGATCTGAGACTTTCCCAGCAACTATTGACTTGTAACTAACTGAACAAACCATCGACATGCAAAGTTGTGAGGAAAGACATGTGATGTGGCTTCCTTTAGATAAATACAAAGCACAATACAACAGGATGCTCAAGTAGAATGAGTGTTCCTAATTGGTTGGTTTTCCTATTGGCGCCACTTATCCGTTCAACAAAACGGCACAGACAAGATTCTTGACTAAACTTTTTACCTTGTTTTGTTGAAGAGAAAAAACTCAACATGGATAACAGGTAGCTGGTGAGGCTTTGCAGTTGGAGCCAGTAGGATCCCCTGCCTTCCTTTCAAAGAAGGGAGCCCTTTGGAAAGTATAGGAAGGGCATTTTAAGGGAGGTGCCTTGAAGTTACCTAAAGCCCCATCTGCTCAAGCTTTTTGGCAGCTTTTTAAGGTTATTTGGTTAGGACTTGCCTGTTTTTAAGTGAAAATAATAGAATTCAAGCAGCCATCTTGGTCAAATGGATTACCCTGTGCTAGAGTTAAGTGTATAATAGTGTTGTCCTGTTGTCTTTGTGCATTGAGTGACTGAGACAGAAAGTGAATAAGATACAAAGTAAAAAGTTTGCTCGCTGGACAGAAATGGCTTTTCATTTATTTGTATAACGGTTTTTAATCTCCTCTGAATATTGTCACTGTCCTGTGAAAACCAGGTGTCTTCGAAATGTCACTTCGGTTTATTTAAAAAATCCCTTCAAGCAAACACATCAAACCAAGGATAACGGTGCTCTTTTTAATTTAGTGCTGATAGTCTATCATAAGTGTCTCTTCTTTGTTTTGTGCATTTGGGAGATACTATTATAAGAGTGTGGGCCTATTAGGAAGGATTTCTTTTCTCAACTCATAATGAGCATCTAATATCCATTTTAGCAGTCCAACATGCCCATGTTGGTTTATTTCAGGACATTTTCATTCTTGATTCTTCAAGGATTTTCAGCTAAAATGTAAAAAAGGTACTGACAGTGTGCAGGAATTTAACTTTTTATTTGACATGTTAACAAGATAATACTTATCTCCCCCAATTTCCTTTGTTTTACATGGTCACAATATGCAATTGAGAACCTTGTAAATGAAAATGAAAATGAAATGATCCCTCATGCCTGGAGCTGAAGGAGTTATAAGGGAAATAATGTCACAATGTTATTGTATCAGAAGTAATTTGTGGTTCTATTTATCAGGGATACCATAATGTCCAACCTCAGCATCTGACTGTCAATGTAAAATAATGTCTGTGTTCAGAAAAAAAGGACTTTAGTGTTTCCCTACATGTTTCTTATAGTCACCCATGTGGGCTGTTGCAATAAATTTAGTTGTATTACCAGTACAAACTAATTCTTACATGCATTTGTGTGTTTGTGTTTTTATATGCCTTTTGTAAACTGTGTATTTCTTTATGTACTATTCTGGTGTCCACTGGGAAATCTTTTTTTTCAGAATCTTTGATGAACACATTTGCATGTGAAAATACCTATTTTCTTACAAAATAAATCCGAAATGCATACCAAATAAAGTCCCAGCATCCTTTGTTTGAGCTCCCCAGCGGAGAACAAAGATGTCAGCCTTCCGACTCCTGAACGGTATTGTCCTGTAAGGCTGACGTTGTGTCACTGGCAGGAACAACACAGGAGACTGAAGAGATGCCACTTCAGCTCATGTCAGCTGTGCCTTTATATTTGTTACTTGAGCACATTATTCAGTGACAGTTGAAATTCAGCTTGTAAAGAGGAAAGGCCTGCCGGACGTACTAACACCAATTATATTTTTAGAAACAATGCACTGGCTACCATAAGGATTTTGTTAACAGGGAAAGAGGAATAGTGCAACGCGTGCTTCTTAAGGCTTCTCTAGTAAGATTTTCAGAAAATCTGTGGAAACATCATCAAGATATTTGCCTATCTGGTCCACTTGGGATGCCCTGCAGCAGACCACAAAAGAGAAACTTGGTGAATTAAAAGGTGGAGTAATGTGATATGCCACGGATATCACAAGTTAATTGTTCTCAAAAACTATGCTAAATCAGTCGACTGTATGGTGTTTATGGGCAGTTTCTTAAGAAAGACTGCATTACATGATATTTGGAAATCAAGACGTGTGGGAAAAAACATTTATTTGAACACTAATTACAAACAAATAATTTTTCCGATAAATACTGATCATTCACTTTGACAAAATGTTCACCCTCAGCCTCAACTAAAGGATGCTCACAAAAAACAATATCACCTAATCCCTACACCATTAGATCATCTACGGTTTATTCATTATTTTTCTGAGTGACAACAATTATTACTGAGGGTTTATTTAAGTATCAATTGCAATTCTCCCAGTAACACTAGACAATATCTACAAGCGCTAACTCATTCTTCACTGTAGGTCCATCTTGCTTTGGCAAACTTGATTCATGCCATTAAATAGTTGTGGACTCAACTAGGGTTCAAACTAAATTAAAAGTGGACCAGCTGTGTACAGAGGGGCATTATCCTTTGCGAAAATAGATCTATCAATTCATTGAAAAAACATAATAAACATTTTCTTGATTCAACTGGACCTCAAACAAGCAATGTAGGGAGAGGTGTGATCCACATTTAGTTCAACTACATTCAGATTAGCATTTTGATTCAAGAAGTTACATTCCTAACAGCAAACAGTTTTGGCCCATAAAAAAAAGGAATTATTTGGTTTTAAACAAATGTAATGTTGATTCTCTACCTTACCAACCCACTCTCTTCAGTCTGCGTACAAATGACACGACTTTACACGTTGGAAATGCGTTCAATAGATAGGCAGAAGTCCGATTTTGCGTGCATATGATACGCCACGTTTCGTGCCTGCACCACTTATTTTTGTCCGGTCGGGTCTTGGTAGACCGGAAGCTGTGTGGTTAATAAAAACATGTTCTTACGGTTCTTACTCAATACCAAAACCACGATTATTGTTTTTATTTTAAATCGTATAATGTCTGACTTTTTTTGCCGTCTGTGAGGAAAATAAGTGGGGCTCAGGGGCCTCATTTATAAAGGGATATACGCTCAAAAAATGGCGTACACCAGTTTCTACGCAATGTTTGCGATTTACAAAATACTAACTTGACGGGAAAACGTGCGGTCCTCCACGCAAACTCTAACCCATACGTACGCACTAAGCACAACAACGGGAGAGACGAGAAACTGCGACACCGTTGGCAGAAGGAAGAATGGAGAGAAATATGTGGAAATAATACCATGAATAAAATGTTAGGCCTACCTCTCAATTATCATAGCCCTATGAAGAATTCATTTTCAAACATTGATTAAAGCCAATCTTAAAATGATTAAACAAATGCCTGTTTGCGACTCCTCAGTGCACACAAAAACACAACTTGGATAAATAAATAAATACGGATATGTTATTTAAAACCACCTCGAATATGTTGTGCAATGTTTTCTCATAAATGATGCGGTAAGGACAGAATTACGTCTAAACTGACGCCGTGTTGCATTTCTATAGGTTGTATACGAGCATGGTTTTATATAGGCCCAAGTTATTATCACGTTTAATCATGTTGTTGTATGCCGTTTGCCAAGACTTGATAAGTTGCTCGTAAAACACAGGAGGTATGGAAATTAAGAACACCATATGTGGTCAATTGAACAGCTAATAGGCCTATAATACAACACATTAGGCCTAGTTGTATTTCCTTTAACTGGTGGATTATGGATATAGAGTTGCTGATCAACAGCTGGAACACAAACCACCAAATACAAAACAATAATTCAGATCCAGTCGTCATGACTCCACTCCGGAGGGATTCCCCGATCATTTCTTAGAGTTTCTCATCAAGGGGGGGTCTCCTGTCTCCGGTGCAAACACACTGCCTGAGGAAGGTTAGGCTTTGTGTATTTTTTTTTGTCATTAACCTTTTTCGGACCACTTAATTATTTATTTATTTTGGTGACGATCCGACCTCCATGCTGCTACTCTGGTTCAAACTGCATTCACCAAACAATATGATTTATCTCAACCTCCCCAATTCTATGATTGTTACGCCACTATTTACCGAACATAGGTATTACCCGCTCGTAATTATATGGTCTATTTTAATTCCGGACTGTTTCATTAATGCAGTTATATAACGCGAAAGACGTTACAATATGATACAACTTCCCGTGAATAAATTGACTATAATATGTGTACTTAATATGAGAATACATACATCTATCATATTTCTTTACACCGTTCTTAACTCCGTCAATTTACCATCCTCCATATCTGTGTATAACTATCTACATAACATTCCGTAACAAACCCTTGCGACAACTCGGGTTCAAAAAGTAAGTAACGTATGTGGTCATCATACACATATACTATACAGTTTATTTGCGAAATCTTTTAGAACTTTAGAACTTTCCCTACACGTTTTATCCCGTTAATATATGTCAAAAATTAATTAATATCATCTCTTATTGCTAATTAATCTATATGAAATATCTCTAGACTCCGTCTATTATACAATCAGAAGAGTTCGTGGTTGGATAAGTTTATAGAGGACTAACGAACCGGTCGAACTGTTAGTGGAAAGGGACTTAAAATGAGTCCAGCATTGATTTTCAGACGAAATTACAACAAATATAACGTGGTAGTAATTAGTCATTTAGACCAGTTTCATATGTTTTTATTTACATCACCTCATTTTTATGCCGTCCAATGAGAGGACTTAACATTCACCTCATCTTACATGGTTTCATTGTTACTCGACAGTAACCACCCATATTATAATTTACGACCGTGTAATACCTCGCGTTCGCTAAAAGTGGGTAAATAATTTAAATCGTACAAAATGTAAACATGTGTGCGTTCACAAGGGTATGCAGATTTGGAGGTCCCCACAGGTGTTCAAATTTATGACCGGTTGAGAACAACACCCTTATTACTTTTCAGAAAATTTGATGTTAAGAGGTCCTCTCGATGCACGGATCTTGATACAACCGCTTTTGGGTCACACGCTTTGTGTTATCGGTCGTACACACAAGACCCCCCACAAACCCCGCAAGCTCAGGTTCAAACCTATCAGACTGGCACCAAAGCAAGCTAAGTTTCTCGACAAACTGCGAATCGCATTGGAACCGCGTGACGGCTGAGCGTTGTAGATTTGATTGTCGTCAGGGTCTCAAACTTTCTAATTAGTGTCCCCAAACGGTTCGTTGCCTGACATCAGGGTTTGATTATACCGCTCCTAATACCACATCCATCACACGAAGCGCCGGTAGGATTTTGAGGACTTTACAAAAAGCCGTATAGTATGGCAGTAATTAGTGGACTATAGGGTTGCACGTAACCGCCGACTTTTGTTAGGTTAAGTGTCTCGAAGTTCGACTCACTTGATTAGGTCAAGTCACCCCAACACCACACATAAGCGTTACTACGAGCTTTTACAGGGAATATCCGGATGCAGACAAAGTCCTCTTTAAATAAATGCCGATTTTCGTACGAATTTTTCGGGCTCGTAATTATCTTAAATTTGATTATTTTATTTTTGTTCCTATTGGACACGATAGAGTTAACAACGGATTTTATTGTCACACAATAAATCTTTTCTTATTGTTTATCTTTCTTTTTTTCTAATGTTTTTATGTCTTTAAAGTAAATTGAGACTCCGGGACCCCGGAGTTACAATATTTGCGGCACGCATCCTAGGTATGGTGCAGCCCTTCCGACCGCCATGCTCCTTTAAATTTTTTTATGATCCACATGGTACAAAGGCGTGTAAAAGGCTAAGTGTTTGTTGTAAGCGTATGGCCGCTCCTTTGCACACCATTGCCGTATTGAAGGTGTGGCAAACGGAAATATTTAAGTGATTAGATGCAGCTTTACGCCACGTTCGGAACGCCCGAAGGTTGGGAGCGGGGTATAAAACGGTATTATCAGTTTCTTTGCAGGGTAAGTAATAAGTAAACTGACTGACGTAGCTTCTTCTAGCCGTTCCTTTAACTGCCTTCTTGTCAATTTTTTATGTAGAGTTGTGGCCGGCAAGAGTTAAAACGCTCCTACGACGAAACCTCGTGTACAGAAGGCTCAGTGAACGAGCTTCCGATCCGTTCTTAGGAAGGCCGGTAAGCCTTTTTGCTCGGCAAAGAGTTAGCGCTCCTATGACGAACCATCAGCGTATGAAGGTTCAGTGAGGAAGTCTTTGCTTCGTTCATTATGAGTTTCGTCGTCGGCTTGTTGCTTCTTACCTTGCCGAATTGTTGTTCACACGGTGAGAGAAGTTGCCAAGTTGGTATTTTGACATTTGGCTAGTTTTATTTATGAGAGTGCTCAGATAGATTATACTTGACGTAAATGAAGTTCCTTCTGTAAAAACCACTTAGTTGTTTTCATTGTTCATGTATAAATGGTGTGTGGGTGACAAGATGCGGTGAATGGTATGAATGTAAATTTACACAACGACCCCGCGCGCAGGGCCAAGTCGGTAAGAGGCGTCCAAAAACATTTAACCGCACGCGTTTCGCTCA